ACATGCTCTTAAAGTGAATACCTCAAAAATGTATGAAAGTAAAGTGAACTAGCATGCCGTATCATCCAACAGAGCCAAGTTCAAAGACTCGGCAGAGAGGAAAACCGAAAAAGAAACAGAGCACCGAAGAAGAGGGGGGAAGAATGATACCTCCTTAACGCCAATGTAAAAGCCCTGCAACACAAGAATTCGCCTCAAAAAAACGCTCTCATAGAAATTCTCTTCCCAAACTCCTCACAACCAAAATTTCTACTCTCCTCTCAGAAAACTTTTCCAACAACCCGTAAATTTCAAAAGGAACTATGTTTATAGACAGAGAGTAGAGGAGAAGAGAAAAGAGACCACCCCCAACAGTCCACGGCACTCGAATCGGGCCAAAGAAGAAAATGACACGCTCTCTGCTCACAGAAGGCGAAGCCACCGAAGTCTCTCGGACCGAGTGGCGAGACTAGTGGCAGCGAGGGAAGCATTGGGAAGAAGAGAAGATATTGCCGTTCAAGTGCACCAGGGAACAAGCTTCCCAGAGTCAAACTACCAGGAAAAGGAAAAACCACAGCCTAAGGAGACTGGCACGGCTTCGGAAAGGAAAGCCGCGGGCAGAGAGTGTCGAGCAAGGACGAATAAGAAGTCAACTTTCTCTCGCGTGGCGAAGGAGGAGCTCGATTGGCTCGAGACCGAGAAAGGGAAAGGTCAGGCGCGCGAACGGGAGAAGGAAGGGAGGCAGATGCGGAGGAAGAAGAGTTCGATCAGCTCGAGAACGAGAAAGGGAAAGGGCCAGGCACGCGAACGGGAGAAGGAAGGGAGGCAGAGCTCGGACGCGGAGAATGGGGAGTTAGGGCTAAAGAGGAAGGGGGTAAAAATAGTTTTAATATAAATTAATATATATATACATATATATATATAAATATATATATATATATATATACATTAAATTATATCTGATTTATTCGCGCGCGGCGACGTAACAAAATGGGTGTCCTCCCTAGGCAAAATTTACGTTCCGGACGCGTTGGCGCAGTCCGTTTCGTCTTCCGGGGTCGCTCGGACGACGTCGTCGACGGTCGGGTCAAAAACGCGTCGAAATTCAAATTTCACAAAAATATTGACCCGCGATCGATTGTTTCAAAAATTTCATTCGAGTCTAAAAGGTTAACTCGAACATTCGACAAGTAACAGTGCAAACGAAGCGAATCGTGACGATCAGAAGTGTCGACTCTCCGAATTACAAAGTTTTGTGCGCGGGAGTGCGAATTGTGCAAAAGGCCACCCTAAGGCTCAGGAAGGTCCTATAGGGATCCCTTTTGGGTTTCCTCATGTTGGTTTCACTCTTCTAAATTCTAGAAGATACCACACACTTGGAACCACAAAAGAGTACAGAAGCGGGTTGAATTTCTAAAATGTGGCGGGTCCCATTTTGGCGGGTCCCATTTCTTAAGATAGTCGAAGGGAGATCCCTAAGGCTAGATCCTAAACCCTAAGAGGAAGACTAGACCTCACTAAAAATGAGGTCAACACGTACTATTGGAAATGAAGAAGGCTTCATTCTCACCTCTTGAATTTTTATCATCTTTAAGGTTGAGAGTTTTGTTTATTTTAGTTTTGAAAACCTATCAATGGGACCCTATTCAGATTTTCTAAGTAGGGCAAATAGGGCTCTATTATTCCTCTAACTATATTAAAGAAAACAAATCTGTTTGTTAAGGTATAAACCCTACAATAGCTATAACTTCATCATGAGAACAGCACTTTATCAAATGGGTGATAGCAAACATTATATTTTAATTAAATAGCGAAAAGGTCAAGCAAGACCACAAAATCAAAGGTGGCGTTCATGAAATTTATAAAAGAGATACATAGAGAAAAGCTGTGTGAGAGAGAGAATCTTGGAAAAAAAATGAATAAATAGAAAACATATATTAGCAATTTTATCGTGCGCAAAAATGCATGCACAAGAGGACAAACGGTTAATGATTAAGCAACGTAAAAATTTCACCTTTGTATTTGAGGTAGAAGAACCTCCAGCTACAACTTGTTGACTGGACATTTGCCTATGGAACTCAGTATGCAATTCAGGAGCCTGAAAACCATAACATTCCACCATTAAAAGGATGATTATTACTAACCGATATTGATAAATTTTTAGAAAGGACAAAGCTGTCTGAATTATTTTTTAAATGAGACTATAATGACAGGCAAACAATGCGGATTGGATTTTATGGCGAATAGTAACAGTAACTTTCAAATAGTAACCGATATTGATAAATTTTTAGGAAGGACAAAGCTGTCTGAATTATTTTTTAAATGACTATAATGATAAACAAACAATGCGAATTGGATTTTATGGCGAATAGTAACAGTAACTTTCAAATCTACAATACTAAGCAAATTCATAAACTGATAGCATAGGCAAATAAATAATCATCTAAAATATTATGCACTTAGACATGGCTATTCTTGCCTGAATCGAACAGGAACACTGAATTCTGTTGATATAATAAAATAACTTTTTAGAACCAGTGATGAACACTGCCGGTTTCAGATTGCACTATGTTCCAAATACAATATTAAACAAAAAAACTCTCTGCGGCACTAACCTGAACTTTATCCTACCAAAAGCTTGAGCAAATTTCCAAACAAAAACAAGAATCAAACGAATAAACATCTCCAATCTTCTTATGCATATTTGAATCATAGTGGGTCTGGTTTCTGAGAGTATTTCAAACTTAAATTTTAAATTTAGAAAAGGAAAATGTCAGGCTCAAAAGTACATATCTGCAATACAAAAATGGCTTATCAAAACAACAGTAATTGATTGGAAACTAAGTGCTTCTTTGGGATCACCTTTGTTTTTGTTTTTTATTTTTGCTTTTATTTTAAAAATGTGTTTAATGCATTGCTTGCATGTTTTTATTTTTTTTTATTTTTTGAAAAAGAAATTAGCTTGTTTTTATAAACACTTAAAAATATCAAAAAGGTATTTTGAGTGTTTTTAAAAACAACTAAACATATTATAACATACCAAACATGTTCTATTTCAAGTAAGAATATTAAAAAAAATAAATAAATAATAAAAAATAATTTAAACGTGATCCCAAACAACCCCTAAATATTTAAGAGTATTTTTAAAAACAAACTAATTTATTTTTTAAAATAAAAAAAAAATAAAAACATGCACTAAACAAACATGTTTTTAAAATGATCCCAATCAAGCTGTTAACCTTTAGAAAACAAACAAATAGCATCCGTAAGATCCTTAACAAATATTTAAAGAAATTAAGCGGAAAACTACAATATTTTAGAGAATAATTTAAAAAGTGAAATCTAAGTCCAATATTGCAAGGGCGAACTACATACTCATAGTCCAACCAAAACCAATGAAACTGTAGATAAATCCGATTCGTAAACCACATTCATAAATAGCCATACATCATACTTTAAAAATTGGACTGGCACTATTTGTCAGTGGGAAAATATTATTTTTGGAATTTGAAAGCCAACTATTAAATACATGATAGTTGTAGATGAATTGAAAAATAAAGTTCCACAAAATATCGAAACTATAGATGACGACATTGAAGAAAGCCATAAAAAATTTTAAAGGTGAGAGAAAATAAGAAGATTCTGAAAAAAAAATTGTGGTAAGCAAACTTATAGCATTAAGAAGGAGATTGCATCTCTCAAAAATAATTCAGGCCTCACACTATTTGATGAAGGATCAAATATCATAATAGAAAAAGAAGAGTTTCACATCAAAAATAGAAATTTTATGCATGCTATAAATTGACTTTATTAATTCACATATTTCAAGATAAAATAATAAAAATAAACTACTAACAAATTTAAAAATTGCCAACAAGATGTCAACAAAATCCTAACAAATTGTTCAAGTTGCTAACAATTCAATGGCATTGCCTAAACAATCCTCATATAATAAGAAAATCTTAATGCCATAACATAAGTTCAAAGATACAATAAAATAAAACATCAGCATTTATATGAAAACCAAGATAATTAGATTATACAATTTTTGTAGTGCAGATAGTTTCGAGCAATGTTTTGAAAACAGGCCAGGACTGCTCGGTTTGACCGTGAACCGATCAGTGGTCCGATCCAAGCATCTAATTTAACCGCTTCAGTATTAAACCGTTCCATATCAGCTCAAACCACTAGCTCGACCGGTGAACCGGCGAATCTATTCCGGTTTGCGAGAACTAGGCAAAGATACTCTCAAGTGTGTTATTGCTTTGATTTTCCCAACCAATGGAGCCTTCCCTCCCAAACAGCCCGAGGACATTATTAAATTTTCCCAAGGCTTATTAAATTTACCTATTATCGCTTCAATTTACCAAGTTTGACACCTTTCCTGTGTATTGAGATAATATGAAACAAGTAAAAATTTAGATCTATCATTTTTCACTCTAACAAGCTTTCTTACAAGTTTTCGAATATTAAATATACATGTTGGTTGTCCTGACTTTTGAGACTATTTAATATCTTTTATTAAAATTTAATTGATGTTCTTATCCATGAAAAATTATGTTCTTACAAAGCCAGGTAAAAATTTCCACTATGTTTCAAAATGATGTGATAACTTATGAAATATTAAGCATTTTTTTTTTGAAATTTAATTGATAAAACTCTGATCTTCAATCTATTGTGATGCTGGTGGACTACTTAATGTGTAATTTTAAAATATAAATTATAAATTACCATTCATTAGAAATAAAATTTTATAATTCATTGTAATGAGAATTTTAATTAAATTTTCATTTTTATCTCAAACTTTTGTTTTACAGTTAATCAAATTATCATTATGTAATCATTATGTAATTATCCAATGGTGGAGAATGAGCATACTTCTAATTGCTAAAACATGCTCTAAAATCTTCAACTGATTGAAACAAAAATACAAAAACTACTCAAGAGAGGAATTAATTAAAAAAACAGTAACAAATTTCCCTCAGACAAAAATCAAAATGACCTTTTATGATTTCTAATGAATCCAATGCCTTAGTCACTTCTTCCAAGCTTGTATCATGTTTAATCAGTAAATTACGTCAGCCGAAATCTAGATATCCTAATTTATTCACAATTTGGCAATCTTGTGCTCTGAAATATCCCAATTTTGGGCCAAATATTGATGATATACAAAACTCACTTTTTTTCATGTTGAAGGCACCTCAAATTCAAAATCTATACATTTTGGTCCCAGACCAAATATTCCTAAAATCTGAAGCCAGCTCAATGTTCTTGACCATTTGTTCATAAGCCCGTGTTATTTCTGCTTTATCATTTAGGCATATGTTTTCTATTCATAAATCTAAACAAATCTTAAAAACCCAACATAACCATTTTATTATTTGAAAAAAAGCAACACAAACCAGTTGAAACTAAAAAATAAAACACTAAATGAACCAAAATACTTTAGTTTTGGAGCACACACTACTTTGGAAATAGGCTACATGCAGAGTAAAAAGGATGCTCATTGTAGATTCATTATTTACTACTGAAACATCTCTTTTGAGGATATATAAAATCTACCAAAAGAAAAGAAACACAGCTTCAATATATTCATGCATAAAAGAAATTATAAATGAAAATATAGAAAGCAATCTTTTTCCAGCCCTCAAATCATAGCGAATTTTTACTTGCTATGCCTCATAATCCATATGATTGCATAAATTCTCCCACTACATGCTTTCTTCAGGAAATATGCATGAAAGTTACTTTTGGACCAAATTACCCTTGTGATGGCAAACAAAGCATGGTCTTTAAAAGTAAGTGAATGCTCGGTTTTTTTTTTTTTTCAACTATTCCTTGCTTCATGTTTGAAGCATCTTTCTTCCAAGCACCATCAACCTTTTTCGAGTAAAATTTAATATTTTCTTCAAATGATACCTCTATCAGAAGACTTCATTGAAGCCACCTTCACACGATCAAAAGAACAGCATTATTTATTTTTTTACCATATAAGACTAAATATAGTCATCAATCTTCGGCTACAATAGGAAGGAGATGGAGGAAAAACCCTATATTGAGAAACATACAAGATTAGAGCACCATATTAATTCTTTTAAGGTTCAAACAAGTTTGACCCAAGATCATCTCGTTATATGTGATGCTAACATAGTTTTAACATGGTTCAAACATTATTTTAATTGGTAACATGAGCTTCAACACAGTTTAGGGGTGACATGAGTCAATTTCACGTGATTTCACTAATTTTTTACTCTGCATTTTATCTCTTATTTTTACTAATTCATCACGGATTTATATTTGTGGAAGGTTTTATTGATGTTATGCAGGATACAGGTGTCTAATACGTGCATTTTGGAACAGAAAAACTAACATAAAAGCGGCCTAAAGCTGCATGACCACGCCTGGAAGAGGCGTGACCACATCAAGCTATCATCACTAACAGCGTGAAAACTCCACAATCCGGTGTGACCACGCTAGATTTGCAGAAAGGCGGCGTGACCACGCTGGGATCGGGCATGGCTACGTTGCCCGATTTAGAAGGCTGGTGTGACCACGCCACTTTCAGCATGACCATGCCACTTTTTGGCATGGCCACGCCAAAGAAGATTGAAAATACTTTGGCAAGAAATTTTCTTATTAAATTCATGGATTAAGCTATAGAAACGTCCCTTAGGGCATCTTTTGAAAGAAAAGAGCCCTAGGGACAGCTGGAGAGCAAAAAGAAATGGTTCTCGAGAGTTTGCCCTTAGGATTCACTTCCACTTTGGGTTGAGGTGCTAAGGGTGTTTTACCTCATACTTTGCATTTTCTTACATATTCTGAGAGCTTTATTATATGAGATAAGAGTCGGCCACTGTGGAAGAGAGAACAAATTATTTTGTAAGCTTTTAACTTTTCAGTTTTACTTGCAATGATGATTTCAATGGAATGTTTTTCCTATGTCTTTCCAACCTGCGTTGCTAATTTTCCTTTCACACCTCTGTGGTTCATGGTATGTGGTTTTTGTGGTTTTCTCGGATGATTTCTCTTACTGAATCATTTTTGTTAGGAGTCAGGGTTTTTTTCGTTGTTGTGTTAATCATAAAGTTTCATTTACTC